GGCACGAACCTGTGTCCCTTGCATCGGCAGGCGGACTCTCAACCACTGCGCCACCAGGGAAGCCCCTCAATATTGTCTTTGAATTCTGCTAGTGTATTTGATGAAAAGTTTATTACCATTCAACTGAATTTTGTATAAATGAGTCACTAGATTGTTTTTAAGTTACTTAGTTCATCAAAACTTTACCTGACATCTTAGATCAAAGACATGGCTTCTAATTCTTAAAATAGTATAATCTAAAATCGACTGAAAATTAGAATCACAGAAAATACCTTTTTGGTTAAAAAAATATACAGATATTCTAATGAGCAATTCCCCTCACCCCCAGACACACAAAAACAGAGATGCCCAAATACCTTTCATGAGCTTGGCAAACGGCTCAGGGCAGGTGGAAGGAATGGGCAAAGTGAGCTTATTGACTGCCACCCCGTAGGCCACAGCAAGACCATCAATGCCACGATAGGGGACCTCTCCCGTGAGCAATTCCCACAGCACCACTCCATAGCTGGAAAGCAGAGTTTTCATAAAGTTAAACAGGGTCTTTTCCTCATGACACAGTTGGTGGGAGAAACGTATCACAGCCTTCATCCAGCCCCTCACGAGACTCTTCTCTTCCAACAAAGCCCATATGGACCCTTATCCCTACATGAGGGGCGGGTTCTTCCAGTTAACATTCCAGACACATGCAAATACACTCCTTCCCGAAATCGGTTATGCCTTCGTTACAGGAAATGAAACTACTTAATGGATAGGAAAGCTTAGGAGCAGTACACGACTGAATTAAACAGGGTCCAGAGGCAGGACACACTTGAAGAGCAATGTGGTTGTTCTGATGTTTGTCTTTCTGCCTCATTTTTTTCCACACCTATTGAGGATCTTCAGGACACTGAAGAATCCAGCCCCGTATTACTCACCACAGGACTGAAATCGAATCATGCTACCTTTTTTTTTTTTTTAAGATTTTTTTGATGTGGACCATTTTTAAAGTCTTTATTGAGTTTGTTACAGTATTGCTTCTGTTTTATGTTTTGGTTTTTGGGCCTCGAGCCATGTGGGAATCTTAGCTCCACAACCAGGGATCGAACCCTCACCTCCTGCACTGGAAGGCCGAGTCTTAACCACTGGACCACCAGGGAAGTCCCACGCTAACTGTTCTAAAATAGGTTTTTGAAATTGTTTCTTTCTGCCCCTCCCTTTATATTTAGGAGATGTGTTACTAATGTTTCCACCTAATGCCTAATAGTAACGGACAAAGAAATCCTGTGGGTTTTCGTGAGCCTGCTGGGAGGACATAACAGGTCTTCTTTGAAATGCAGGAAGGTGAAGTGAAAGGAGAATAAACAAAGAACAACTGCAGCTGCCATGCTCTCCAAAGCATCAGCAGATGTGATGCAGGTTCACTGCTGCTTCAGTTTAAGGGCAAATGCGATTACATACAAGAACGAGAAAACACACAGTAAAAGGATCTCTAAGTGAACTTTTAAAATGAAGCTAAAGGACTGAATTTCAGTATACACCTATACTAGAGAGTCTCAGACACCCCAGTTCAAAGCAATACAGGGGAGCACAGAAATAAGCCTTGTACATCATATACGTTTATTCTCTTCTACAAAACCAGTCAGAACCTTGGCTTTCCTTTATCTTCTTCAAAACACAAAGTGCACTCAAATTATCTTTTGACATAAAACATCAGTCACTCCTGACACTCACTTGCCTTTAAATTAAAACACATAAGCATATAAGGAACAGTCATATTTGCTTTATTTTTAAGTTCCATTAACATAACTAGTATGGCCCTATTTACTTTTCTGATCTTTTAAAACTTCATTCCCTTTAAGTTAAAAAAAGAGTTTGAAATTTAAAGAAGTAACTTAACTCTCATTTCACATGCCTAAGGAAAGGCAAAACAGCTCAGAATAACACCAAGAAAACCCCCAAAACCCACATCATTTAAATTTGCTTTGGAACTGATTTCTGAGTCTCATTCGATTATCTCCCGACCTTAAGAGATGTGGGGATTCACAGCGTCAGATACAATAAGCCCTCTGTAAGGAAGACCTGGCCTGCAACAAGCGTCTCTGGAGCCCAGGTGGTCACCCTGGCCATCAACACTTCATTTTCAGACCTCTCCACTAGTGCCCAATGGACTCTACACTACATACTGAAAACATTCAGAAAAGGAAGGCGTAAACAACAGAACATGCCCTGAATTCAAAGGGGCCTCAGGGATCCTCCCGCTGATGTTCCACGGCCCTAAAAGCAGGGGTGTTTCCATCCTGAGGCCCCTGAGCCCAGGGCTCCCTCCCCAGCAGGGGGCGCAGCAGGGCATCACTGAAAGACAACTGGACCTAGAAGCGGCACACCTGAGGCTGAGCTGTGGGACCACTACTACCTGTTGCCTATGTCTCCACTCACACGGCCTTGAAGCTGATCTTGAATCATTGATAAAGTATCAGTGACATTTCCTCTGCCATCTCAAAGCACTGTTTTATGTTTTGTTAAAAAAGGAATACAGTACCTGTAAATTATATAATGCTATAACTATTAGCAAATAAGGTGCAACCAGGATTTTTCAAAGGCTATCTGCTTAGTATCTTGAAAATTACCTATGGTATGGTGCATTAGCGAGACACATTCTTAATTTCAAGAGTAAGTAAACTGAACTCATAGATCAATCAACAAAACTCATCTCAGTGCAGGGCACCAGAAATTATTAGAATAACTGAAAACTGAATAAATTCAAAGAAGCTTCCTTGCTATTCTCCTTAGCAAATAACAAAATTAAAACCAACAATAACAACATAACTTTGCCTCTTGGAAGTTCCAGAGAATGAATAATTCAGGATAGGTCATTTTTCCAGAGAGGTATTCTGGTAAAAACCAATGTGAAAGAAAAGGGAGCTATTCTGATGGGACAATTTTTAAAGTGTAATGCATATTTTTCTGCTCTCTGAAACTGGGTGGGATATAGTATAACAAGCCCTCTCCTGGGGACTTCCCTGGTGGCGCAGTGGTTAAGAATCCACCTGCCAATGCAGGGCACACGGGTTCGAGCCCTGGTCCGGGAAGATCCCACATGCCACAGAGCAACTAAGCCCGCGTGCCACAACTACTGAACCTGAGCTCTAGAGCCCATGAGCCATAACTACTGAAGCCCATATGCCTAGAGTCCGTGCTCCCCAACAAGAGAAGCCACCGCAATGAGAAGCCCACGCACCACAACGAAGAGTAGCCCCCGCTTGCCGCAACTAGAGAGAGCCTGTGTGCAGCAACGAAGACCCAACGCAGCCAAAAATAAATAAATAAATTTATTTAAAAAAAAAAAAAAAAAAAAGCCCTCTTCTGAGTATACAAGTAGCCTAATGATTAAGGGCTGTGGTAGCAGGAACACGGCTCTTAGGCCAGGGACCAGAGTCTGCTACTCACTCACTAGTTTTACAACCCTGAGGAAATTTCTAAACCTCTCAGTGCCTTGGGTATGTACTCTGTGAAACTGGGGTAATCACGGGAGCCACTGTAAAAGTTCAATGATAGCATCTGTCAAAGTTACCTCGTAGGGTAGTAACTGGTAAGGAGGAAGTGGGGCGAGAGAGGATGATCACTAAATACACCAGTATATATAGCAGCCCCCAGCACCACAGACCGGAGCCATGCTTCTTGAATGCAATTATTTCTATGGGAATATTATGAAGGAGGTTCTAAAGCAGTTCAGAGGGACGGCCTTCCCTGCCTCTGCATCCTGACATCTAGGACTCTGCTGGGCTTTAATATATCCGTGTGTTCTGGAGATGTGTGTGGACGTCTGGCTCCACAACCAGGTGGTTCTGGAAGCCAGCAGATTCCAGTCCTTTTCATAGCGTTTCATGTGTTTGCTCCTAGCGCCCACTCTGTTCTCAGCTGCCTTTCTTTTTTTTTTTTACCAGCTTAGCACCCCTCTCCCCTCTTCTGCTTAGATGCTTCTACTGAAAATCAGGTAATCGAGCTCATATAACTGAGAAATAGAAATGAACAGATTTTGAGGGAAGACCTCTCCATGAGTGCTTGGACTTCAAGACCCATATTTTGGCTGATTTTAGAAATCTTTTTTTTCTTACTTTTGATTCTATGTTTACAGTAGGTGAGGTCGCTCTAGAGCATTTATATAGATTGTACAGCATTTGTATAGCTTATAATTACATAGTTTATTTTAAAAGGCACACATAGTAAAATGGTTACAGTCTTAATTATTCCAAATGTGAAGTTGATTTATATTTTATTAGTTTCCAGAGTCCTGAAGTATAATTTCTTAAAATAATCACCTATTTCACTGAATTATTTTGGCATTACATGGTCAGAAAATTATTGTGATTAAGTCAAGGAAAACACATGTAATATTTTACAAAGACACATGTGGCTCAGTCTCCACCAGCAGAGTGTAAGTCGTTAAGTAAGGGGTGAGGCTCAAGCTTCTGTGTTTTTCAAAACGGCCCTAAGACACTACAGAACCCCTGGCACAGGTGAAAAATTTCTTAACAGTCATAAGTAGAACAATTAAATTAGAAGCCTGTATTTATACACTGCTGGTGGGAATGAGAACTGGTGGAAAACAGTCTGGCAGTTCCTCAAATGATTAACCATATAATTACCAGGCAGCCCAGCAATTTCACTCCCAGGTAGAAAACCCAAGAGAAATGAAAACTCATGTCCTCACAAAAACTTCATAAATGTTCAGAGCAGCGTTATTCAGAATTAGCCAAAATGTGGAAACAACCCACATGCCATCGACTGATAAACGAATAAGCAAAAGGTGGTATTATCCACCCAATGGAATATTATTCCACAATAAATAAGAATGAAATTCTGATACATTCTATGACATGAACCTTGAAAATATGCTAATTGAAAAGCCAGTTGCAGAGGACCGCATATTATTTGATTCCATTTATATGAAATGTCCAGAATAAGCAAATCTAAAGATACAAAATGTAGATTAGTGAGTGACTGCCTTGGTTGGGAGGGCTGGAGTGTTGGCGTGATGGCTAAGGGGTATAGGGTTTCTTCTTTGGATTATGAAAATGTTCTTAACTGACTGTGCTGATGAAGGTAAAAGCCATGCAACTGTAGAGTTTAAATGGGTGAACTGTATGATGTGTGAATTGTATCTCAATAAAGCCGTTAAAAAAACAACAACAGAAAAATCCTGGAATTTTAATACTAGTCACACAGCATTTTATGAGCATTAAATGAAGGCAAGTAAGCTCCTGGTGCATTGTAACTATAAACAGAGTGACTTTTCTCTGTTGTTCTGCTATGCATGGTGTCTTTACCTCCTAATGAGACACAGCCGAATGGAAAATCCAGCTAACCTGGGATTCCATTTTGGTTCAGCTCTCCATCCTCAAACCAGAAGCTTTAATCTTTAGATAATGCAATCCATAAAATGAAGGAGGTTACCTAAATTTTTTTCTCAAACACCTTCCATGCTAATATTCTGTCTGTGAGTCATGAGGAATCAAAATTTTTGCTTAAAGTGAAATTTATGTTTATTTACCAACAGGCCTTACAAAACAGCATTACTGTTTACTCAAGTTATAACCAGTTTTAATCAAACCTCAGATTTCACAAATTTCTCTTATCAAATGGAAGTCATAGGATAATCAAAATCTCAAGTTACCCATTCTGTTGTGATTACAACAGTCTTGATCAGAACCACAAAACCTTCAAAAAGGCCCATACAGATCTTCCTCAACTTACAGTGGGGTTACGTCTGGATAAATCCTTCCTAAGCTGAAAATATCATAAGCTGAAAACGCATTTGATGCACCTCAACTACTGAACCTTAGCCTGGTCTTTCTTAAAAGTGCTCAGAACACTTACATTAGCCTACAGTTGGGCAAAATCATCTAACACAAAGCCTATTTTATAATAAAGTGTTGAATATCTCACGGAATTGATTGCATACGATACCAAAAGTGAAAAACAGAATGGCTGTCTGGGTCCAAAATGGTTGTAAGCGTATCAGTTGTTTCCCCTCGTGATGGCGGGGCTGACCGGGAGCTGCAGCTCACTGCCTCTGCCCAGCCTCACAAGAGAGGACTGGACCACGTATCACTAGCCTGGGAAAGATCCCAATGCCAAATTCCAAGCACGGTTTCTAGAGAATGCATATTGCTTTTGTGCCATTGTAATGTCAAAAAAAACTGTTAAGTCAAACCGCTGCAAACTGGGGACTATCTGTATGGTTATGCTCAGAATTACTGAATATTTGGGGACTCATTTAAAGGACGTGTAGCAACCAGTTTCTGCAGACACCTGCAAAAACAAAATGTGTGGTGCTTACTCACCTCCAGATGTCGCTTCCCTTGGAGAACAAAGAGGACTTGATGACTTCCGGGGCCATCCAGGCATAGGTGCCTGCTGCGCTCATCCTGGTGGTCCTGTGCCACTCTCTCGCTAACCCAAAATCTGTAATCTTCAATGTCTTATTGCAGACGTCATCATGCTCTATCTTCTCCAGTAGCAATACTGAAGAGGAAAATCAAAGGTGGAATACTTTCATATTTTTATAATTTTTCAGTTACAATTTTTCTTTGGCTTTTTTTTTTTTGTTGCAGTACGCGGGCCTCTCACCGTTGTGGCCTCTCCCGTTGCGGAGCACAGGCTCCGGACGCGCAGGCTCAGCGGCCATGGCTCACGGGCCCAGCCGCTCCGCGGCACATGGGATCCTCCCAGACCGGGGCACGAACCCGCGTCCCCTGCATCGGCAGGCGGACTCTCAACCACTGCGCCACCAGGGAAGCCCTTTTCTTTGGCTTTTAAAACACAATCTTCACTGCAGTTGGCAGAGTACTGAGAATGAACCTGCATTTTACCATTTTATCTTACTTACATCTTGTTTTTCATAACCTTTAGTGGGTCGTTTGTGCCTAAAGTTACAAGTTTAAAAAAAATCCACAGGGCTTCCCTGGTGGCGCACTGCTTGAGAGTCCGCCTGCCGATGCAGGAGACACGGGTTCGAGCCCCGCCCGGGAAGATCCCACGTGCCGTGGAGCGGCTGGGCCCGTGAGCCATAGCCGCTGGGCCTGCGCGTCCGGAGCCTGTGCTCCGCAACGGGAGAGGCCACAACGGTGAGAGGCCCGCGTACCGAAAAAAAAAAAAACAAAAAAAACCCACACAGTACAGCTTTAGCACTCTTTATGAGAAAGTAAATGATTTCTAGGGGCAAGAAACATTTACTGAGATATCACAGGTAGAATCAGAAGTCTGTGAAAGTTTACCTGATAGGAAGAAAATATTTACATTGTTTTTCTTTCAAGAAATTAGGTCCTGATCTAAATGCAGAGTCTTTTCTACTGAATGTTTCCGAGAGTACTGCAAATAGATGGCATATTACCATAAATCATTATTATTGAAGATTAGCTTATGTTAAATTTGAAAATTGCTTATAGGTATGTTAACTCATGAAGATATTCTATGAGATGTGATTGCTTTACCAAAGATTGAAATGCAGCAAAAAGTAAAAACTTCAGAGAAACATTATCCAGTTGCTGGTTTCCCCAGCCCCCAGCCTCCTAACAAAATACAGAACGCACAAGAGCAGCTTTCAGGAGCCGAGCTGATGCCGGGACTGCCCTGAACTCTCTGTGCAGCAGGAGCTAAAACAACGGAGCTTCCCATCACTGCCCACCTGCACCCGCCTGCCCCGCCCTTCCCGGTGCCTTGGGTTCCTCTCTCCCCTGGTTGACTTCTCTGCCTATAACGAAGCAGAAATGTCTCCCCCGTTTTCCATGAGGCTCTAATGCAGCTCCATATCCACGCTACTCCTTCCCATTTGCTACAGAAGGAACGGTTTAAACTTACTGTTTTTTCTCTCTCCTCACTCCTTCCTTAAAACCCAGCCTTCCAACCTGCAGCGCAGTTGTTCTAGTTCAACTGAGTGCCCCGCAGATGGCCCGTCTCCACTTCCCTGCCACCATGTGACTTCTGGCTTCACTGTCCCAAACCTGAATTACAATCGTTCTCACTGAACTGGGTGCTGTCCCTCTCTCCTCTCTCGCCCACATGCCACCCCGAGCAGATTCATCTTCCTATAGTGCCGTGGCATCCTTTTATTTTTATTTTTTTAAACCTCTCATGAATAAACTACCGATACACAACAAGGATGAATCTGAAAACCATTCCGCTAAGAGAAAGAAGCCACACGTGAAAGGTTATGTACTATGATCCCGTATGGCGTCCTGGAAGACGGACAGAAATCAGACCAGCGGTTTCTGGAGGTTGAGGGGAAAGGCCTGACGGCAGCGCTACACGGGAGGGTTTTTCCGGGTGATGCAAATTCTCTCTTGGTGGTGGTGGTTACAGGATTATACACATTGGTCAAAGCTCACCAAACTGAACGCCCTCGGGGAGGGGGGTGAATTTTTATACAAATGACACCTCAATAAACCTGCATTAAAAAAAAAAAAATTCCATGGTTCCCCGTAACTCAGGGAGAAGGTCCACACTCCAAAACCTGGGCAATCACAGCCCCTAGATTCGCACAGCAACCTACACTTCAAACTACGTCCCGTGCCCCTATGGATGAGCTTGCTCTGCTCAAGGCAGGCCGGCTGCTCATCCAACCCAAATGATACCTGCTCAGTGACACCTTCCAAATACCCTCAAGCCGGGAACCATCACCTCCTCCACCCTCCCGTGAGCTCTGTGTTTCTTTGACAGTTCTATGAGGCACCAGGTACCAGACTGTATGCTTTCATCAGACTCCTCCACTGCTGTTAGCTCTGAGACAGTGAGTATGTAAGTGTGAAACAGGGGGCGTACAAGTGAGGGACAGAGAGAGAGTGTGTGTAGGCGGTGAGATGGCAGGGAGAGGAAGACAATGGTGAGAGACTCGTGCAATTCACGCTCACCCACGCGCACCCACTCTGTGTCGTGTCTGATTCAGCGCAGGTGCTTAGTGTTTGCAGGTGAAATTAACAAAAGGGGCCCGTTCTCATGTTTGTCCTTTGCCCATGCCACTTCCTATCTAATAGAAATAAGAACCAAGTCCTGAGTCACTAGCCATCATCAATATTCACTATATTCCTTGTACTTTACAAGTGCTATTTCATTCAATCCTCACAAAAATCCCAAGAGACAGGTCTTCATTATCAGAGGATAATTAGTACTGAAAAAAATTCAGCAACACTGAATCCAATTGAACAGTAATCCAAACTTCACAGTTAACAGAATATATGTCTGTGTGGGGGGGGGAGAGTTGTCATTCAGGTTTCACCTTGAACAATAACAAAAATCAGTTTATCTTATTCTTTATTTAACATTTTTGTCATCGTTGCAACTATGCACAAACTCTTAGAAGGACAAAAACGAACAAGTGTGGGAAGTTTCTTAGACTAAATTATCCAGACAAAATTGGAGACTAGCATAAGACACTTCCTGTTTGATCTGTGGAATGTGATCTTAAGGGGGACCACTTGCCCAAATGTTATAGGAATAATGAGCGTTGACTGAGCACATTCTATCTGTCAGGTACACTTATAGGTATTTTAATCAGATAATCCCCACCACAGTGCTATAGGTGGATATTATTAATCATCTGTACTTGACAGATAAGGAAACTGAGACACAGAGATGTTGAGTAATCCATCCAAGGTCACGCAGCTGAGGCGCAGGGCTACTCAAGCAGTCTGACCCCTGGGTCCATGGTCCTAACTACTGCCTGCATTGCTCAGGTGACAGCTTTTATCAATTTTTCACAAGCGATTTCTTTATCCTTTGGAAAGCTCTCTGTATGCAGGTGCCCATTCTCCTCTTTTCTGATTTCCTGCCACTGGATAGTTATCATCTGATCTAAGTAGAGGCGCTGTGGCATAGTGATGGAAGCATGCACTCCAGGGCCAGACTGCTCGGTTTGGACTCTGTGCTTCTGCTTCCTTGCCTGCCATGGGAATTATGACAGTACATACATCATAACGTTGTAGAGAGGAGGAAATGAATACACGTAAAGTGCTCAGAACAAGGTCTGAGACACAGTAAGCATTTTGAAATGATGACACATACATATACCTACACACACCCTTTATTGATGGGTTTGAAAGTGTGTTTAGCAAACCTTCAAAATCACTTTCACGGATGTCAGGAAATCCTATCACTTTGCAAGGCCTGAAATTTCACTTTGCAATAGATTCACATTCGTATCATCAATTTAGACAGTCACAGAAGTCACAGAGTTAATGCAACTGGAGAGAACCAACATGAGACAGCTGAGTGGGGACTTATTATAAGTCGCCAATACTGAATAAATACTGCTGTGTTGTGATATTCCTTTCCCCAAGCGATCTTCTAACTGTAAGATTTGGAGAGCAAGCACCTCCTTCTATCCTCCAATCACCTAACGCAGTACCTTCTACATCAAATGGCCAATGGAATAGTTTCTATTAATAATTATCACCAGTTCTAATAAGATTATTGCCTACCATTTATTAATCCTCTTCTATGTAGAGTTGTTTCCACTCACATAATAACTCATTGGATCCTCATGCCATTCTATGAAATGGAAATGACAGTCTCCAGTTCACAGTTCAGAAATGTTATCCCAGATCATACCGCTACAATACAGGGCCACGCTTCGGATCCCACCTGCACGACTATCTTTCCAGTCTTCTGTGCTACATATAAAGCTACCAGTTATGAAAAGGGGGCAGAACAACCAGAAATTTCATTTTGTTAATTTTAAAATTTTCCTTCCTTCCATTCAGTTTAAGGAATAAAACCCTATATACTTAAGCCACAGAAACAAAAAATAACAGATAGATTAATTAGTTACTTCATCAGCTGTATTACATTTTTCCCCCTTATAATACATACTAATTTCACTTTTAAACAATGATATCCTTACCACTAAAAAAGACTCCAAATTAATGATCAAGATGGCTTGCAGTTCTATAAAACTTTGTTTTCCAAGACACTTTCACATACATTACCTCCTCCTTCTGAAAAACACCCAAATTAGGAAGGCATGAGGAAGCACTGATTAAAATGGGCATTAAAACCACGCTATGTCCCCGGGCCCCAAGTAAGGCCTGGCAGCCCTTAAGGAACAAAACGCTCAGAAAGGCACCTCTAAAATAAATACAAACGGAACTCCAAGCGAGAACTAAAAGCTGAATTATTTTAAATCGATCGCATTTCTCAAGCAGTGCCGTGGCAGAATGCAGTATTAGCAGCCTTTGCGACGCGGTCTTTAAAACACCTGCCCTCACCGGAGTCCAAAGTTTCCACCGGAGCTTTCAACTAACAGAAAACAAGTTAAAATAACACTCTGAACGTCAAAAGTTTAGAGTTCCATGAAAGGCCCATTGTTCTGGATTCTATTTCAGAGGTGTTCAGCAGAATTCCTCAAATTCCTTATCTTTGGGGCAAAGTGACCGAAACCAGAAATAGCCAGTGTCCCGACAGGTCACGTGACCGGGCACCTGGCCAGGTTTCAGCCCAGGACAGGCTGGCGGTGCTTCCGCCTCCTGACC